TATTTGACCAAATTTCGTATATATTCCGATATAATCCCATCCCTTCCTGGAGACTTATCTTTCTGAAGATTTTTAACTGTCTTTGTTAATTCATCAACGACAATTAGTCGTTCTATATTTTATCTATCATCGTCCGTCAGTTTCCTGTCAATACATCCGATACGTTTTTTCTGCGTTATTTACGTCCCAAACCTCAGTGCTAAACAACTTTGAGTAAAATTTAACCTGCTCTGATACTTTTGAATCAATGTCGTTTTTATATTTGCCGTCCGAGCATTTTAGACAATTAAATTATTTGTTTTTAGTTTTCTGTTTTTTTTTCTAAATTAAGAAATATTGTTATTTTAAATGAGAGCAAAAACTTCCATAATAAATCGAGCCGATTAATATTATAATTAATATAAAGATATTAATTTTGCCTAATCTTACTTGTTATAGTTACTCTTTTACTAACATATTTTCTTTAATAATTTCCAAAAAGACAAAAGTTATCACAAAATGACTTAGAATTGCAATATGTGCCGATTGTCAATTGACTTATTTGTAGACCTTTTTTTGTTGATTGATTTGGTTGTGTACATTTTCTCTTTATCGACCAAAAGATTTAGCAAAACGCAAATCATACAATCATCATTAGAAGGGGAAGTTGACTGAAGATTCATGCCAGATTTGACTTTCTTGTAGATCTTGTTAGGCTAATTAGTGTTGTTGTATAAAGTTTTTCTCGATTTATAGCAGTTTAAAAAAAAGGGTAAACCTCGTCGTTTAAAGTCATTTTTAGTATATTGTGATTTTCTTTGTAAAATACTTTTCAAGTAGAATAACTGTAAAATTTGCTAAAAGCTGACATTCAATTTCTGTTCTGAAATTTTAAGATAGATCAACACCTACCTACCATAATATACCGGTAAGATTATTTTCATATTGCCGACATTTGACTCCGGACTATATAATTTTCTGACAGGTTACATACTCTGTGGTAGGACATCCTGGTACTTAGTCAACAAGGAACAACAGAAGAAGTAAAATCAAACATATAATAGGTGCAACTTGGGGGAAAGGTAACAGTTTTCCGACGATTTTGTCGTGAAAAGAAAACATAAAACAGTTAATTTTCCCCCAAAATTGTACCGATTACAAAAGACTGAAGTAGACATTCTCATATACTGTAAATTCAGAAATTATTGCGTGCATTTATTATTGCGATTTTGTCATTTTAGACTAAAATGCGATTTTAGTTTTTGCGATATGAGAATGTCTACTTAAGTCTTTTGTAACGATATTGACCCCCCTCGTATTTCAATAATCATTTATATAGGAGTTCATATTAGTCTGAACCCAAATATGTATGGTTGCTGAGCACTTTTATATCAAGAAAGGGTCGTTGCTAAGAAATTTTGACATGACCTTGAACTTTGGCATTTATCCTTGTTACCAAATGAAAGCAATAATCGTTCAAAACATTTCTTCTATTCAATGTATTGGTATATAATAATGTAACCATTTCTGACAAAATCAAGGTCAAAGGTCAAAGTCATCAGTATCCTTATACCTTGGGATCAAACTTAAGGTTTTTTCAATTGATTTTCATCCTTTATCTGTCATAGTTTATGAGATATTTTAATAACAAGGTCAAAACTATGTTACAAAATAACAAATATTTCCCTTTCAGGTTCCCTTAGCAACCACCCTATCAACCTGAATCCCAAACCTTCAGTTATGAATTATTACTAGGCAACAGTGTTGGTTTACATTAATAACTTCAATGTAAATGGGTGTGGATGCAAAATTGTGTAATTAGTTCATACAAAATGCCTATAATTTGCCTTCTTGAATACAATGAAAACTCCCTTATTTCAATCAGTGTTGCAACCTTCTCCCTTTTTCATTAGAATTATGTTTTATCTTTTATCTAACTAATTTAATGTTATATTTTAATGAACAAATGTCATAATACTCATCAACATTGAAATGTGTGCATGATAACTTCCTGATAATGGGAATTTTTCTACCTCAAAAAATGCAATGCTATAGCTATCAAAAAACAAAATTTCAAGAAAATCAAAAAAAAATATACGTGCGAAACGCGGTTGGTGGATACAGAGAATTGCTATTAATAAGAAAATAAATAAATAAACTAAATTAGAAAAAATGAAACCAGAATCATTTATAGACGACAAATTTATTAATTCCTCGATAAAACAACAAAGTAAATAATAGATTTAATCGATAAAATGTAATTTAAGAACAACAAACATATACATAAACATATAATCAACAGAGGGTTCTTTCTTTAAGTATTCCAAAGTTATGTTTAATTCTAGTATAACTAAAAATTATTTTAATTCAAATGTATCATCAACAAAAAGGAGCATCTGAATGTGAACACGGTCTGACAACTTTGAACTTAATTTTTCATGTTTGGTCTGATTTCTTCGGAAACCATCTTAACATATCTGCACCGTAAGCTAGAACCTTCCAACTTATTTATCTTGACATGACTGAAATTTGTTTTCTTTTGAATAACATATACATATATTACAGTCTTTGGTTTTCTTTGTTGTGTTTTGTATACTGTTATTTGTCTTTATTTCTTTTTTCTTTTTTTGCCATGGCGTTGCCAGTTTATTTTCGACTTATGAGTTTGAACGTCCCTTTGGTATCTTTTCCTTTTCTTTAAAAATTTAATCCTTGTATCTATGATGAGTTTTTTTTTACGAATTATCTTAATTAATAAGTATACCAACAAACGCGTACAGTACAATAGTACACGTACTTAAAGATAAGTAATCTATACCTTGTACAGTTGTATTATGTTTCCATTTACTATTTAGGATACAGCTTTAAACTATTTAGAGTGGTCGTCGGTCGTGTTGACCATTTTTTAGCGTTCTCTGCAGTCTTTTCGGAATGTCCTTTCATCCTTTTTTTTTCGCCACGGGTATGTGTGTACTTTTTCGACATATTTCAGTATATACTTTCGTGATAAAATTAGTCATGCCCAGTAAAGATTCCTGTAAGTAAATTTGGTTTATTAACTTTTTTCATTCGAGCGTCACAGAATATTCTTTTATAGACAAAACACGCATCTAGCGTACACAAAATTTCCTCCTGGTATCTATGATGAGTTTATTTACATAGTCTTCAAAATGGTCAGAAATTTGTTGCTAATAGATTTACACCCTGCAAATATATATGTTCATATTGTATGTACGAACGAGACCTTCGTTTGGCGTACAACGTTTACCATAAGCTTGGAATATATGAAGCGTTTTTTACACTATCTTCCCAAAAACCAAAATAGCGTATAAGAAAGACATAAGACTCCGAAAGGATACCCAAACTCATAATTCCTAGACAAACTAACAACGCCATGACAAGACACATAGAACAACAAAACGACAACAGTCTACAAAATACAATATAGAAAACTATAGACGATACAGCACGAAACCAACAAAAATCCGTTGGGGATACCATGTGCTCTGGAATGGTAGCAGATCTTGTTCCACAGTTGCACACGTCACAGCGTTTCATTTAAAAATATCCCTATATAATGCGTTTATATCCATGATATCGTCTTTCTACACTTGTTTTGTTTCATTTCGATATAGAATTAAGCATTTTGTACTCTGGTTTAATTACGATCATAAATTCCTTGTTAATCAAATAAAAGTTGAAATGAGAAGGCATTAAGTAGTAAAATGTTAAGTAATTTACAACATAATCTGGAAGTTAGAATAAACAATGACATGGTATTGATAAGATATGTTTGCAACTTTCCTATTAAAATCATTATCTTTCTCTGTGATAATTCGCGATGTCAAATCACACGGCTGATTGGATGTTGTTAGTCGAGTATATTGAAAGCACGATGGCGTTATAAGACAATGTCATGTGCGTTGCATATGAAAATAGTGATACACATATTATATATGGTCTTTCAACTCAAGGTCGACAACTTTATCGGTGTGCTCTTCTTTTATTTTGACTACCTCGTTAGATCAAAAACCAAAATATAGCTGTACTTATCCCCTTTTTTGGAGTTTTGTTGTGGTCCCATTGTCCACCTTGGTATTGCAAACAACCAGTGTTTTATGGTAAACCATAAATTTTGCATGTTCATTCTCAGCATGCGGTTATACGCACTGCATTTACGAGCCAACATACATATGTCTATATAAGTCGACATTAGAATCACAGACGAACTTATTTTAAATGAAATCAACAGTGTAAAATATTTTTGTTGAGGTTTGCTAGCAACAATTGTCCTGAAAAATGAGTAAATGTGAACAAATGCTTTATGAGTATCAAATATACATGCATAATTTACAAGAAATATTGGTACTCTTCGTGAATTCAATGCCATTCAAATAGTTGTACATACAATTTGAACATTTGTTTTTTTCTGGGTAAAAATCTATTTGCAACCATTTTCCCGTCATTTTGAAGGCTATGCGACTGCCTCTTATTTTAATTATGTATTATTCCTAATTTGTATGAACATATTTACTCTAAGACGTTAAGCATATACCATTCAATATCTATGAAGAACAAAGATTGGTCGCTAACAAGTTTAGTTTTCAGATCATGTGTATATGTACATACCACCATATTGCGATGAACATTAGACGGTCACTAATCATTCGGATTGATATGTTTCATCCTTTTGATTCATAATATATATTTTCAATAATGAAATATACAAATCGTAAATATTTAAATTCAGTAAGTAATACAGAAAATCGGACACGGTAATTGCTTGTACCAAATTGACTATTGCAAATTGTAATATTTAGATAGTCACAGAATTTATATTAAGGTGTTTTTTGAAACATATACGATTGTATTTCTGTCATTTTTCTAACTTTTAATCTGTAAACACTATCTTCAGATGCATTGCCTGCAATCGATTTTATTTACAAGTAAGATGGGATTTTTTTTTTAAAGAAACAACATCTGTGCTCGTTTTGAATATGTTTTTGTTAACTACCTTACAGAAATGAGACAGCAAATGTTACATGTCTAGACGAGTTGAAGGTATAAAATCAGCTACATCGTCATCATTTGTAGAAATGCAGGTATAAACCATTTTATACAACAACAACCAATTAGTCAAGGCATGAATATACCATTTTCAGCGGTAATTTATCTTGGTGTAATTACCGGGATCTGTGATAATGTGATGGCATATAGAGGCAAACATAGAGGTAAAGAAAATTATGATTATGAATTTAAATTTCTTATATAAAAAATGAAATTAATAAAGTAAAGAATATTTAGATGAAAATGACAACAACGTTAATATCTTTCAGAAGCAGGCCCTGCAGGTGTGATATACACTCTCATTAGTTAAATTTGTTCCGATTGTCTGACGATTTTACATACTTACTAGAATACTGTGTTACAGTTAACTGTTCTCATGAAATTTAAGGAAACATGTTAAGAGGGTTTCTGATTTTGTTGTTTTCTTGAGAGGAAGAAGCTCAAAATATGCTGGTTTTCTGTAGTAGCGGGTAAATTTTGACCCTTATTTTGAGAAAGTATAACATTTTATATATTTTTTCTTATTAGTATTATTCTGTTGGCAGCCGTTTTGTGCAGATTTATGTTGTGTGTTTTAATTTTACGACTCATGATCTAGGCAGGCAATAAAGGAGCTTTATGTTCACGTAAAACCGGTTAAACCATACAACATTTTGTGTGTGCACCATGTAAGACCATCTCTAAAATATACTGTCCGTTTAAAATATATCATTTGTGCTTGGGTTTCTGATTTGGTTGTTTTCTAATATCAAAAGTTTACATAATGTATGCAAAGTTCTATTTACAATATCTGCCAAAGAACGAATTACATTGATAAATATAATACGATATACTGTAAATTAACTTATTCTCACGGATACTTTATTTCATGTTAAAGCCCTTTCTAGACCACTTCCCGGCGGTTTAACGTAGCGATTTTCAAATTTATTTGATGTATATATATAATATAAGATCCACGTTTTCCAAGTTCGCAACGATTTAAATTCGCGTTATTTTTCTATCTGTGAAAATAAATCACTCACGAAAATTAGTTTGTTTATAGTATTGTTTTTTTAGGACCTCCAGGACCACCAGGACCTCCGGGACCACCGGGACTAACGGGACTAACGGGACCTAAAGGCATGACCGGTATTTTTCCACATTGATATTTGTTTGTTGCAATGATTTGTCTATGTATACTTCTCCATTGATAATTGAAATTATCCAAAAGAAAACTGTATAAAAAAGGCTTTTGAATCCTTTAAAGTAATGATTAACATGGATTTTGATTGCATTATGTGTTGGTAGCTATTACTTGACTTTTTTTGATTATCTAAAATCAACATAAATTAAATTTTAAAAAGCGAAATAATTTAATTACAGGAGAACATAATTAAGCAGTTATCAGTATCTGCTTTAAAGCTTTCTTCTTCCTTGTAATTCTTATATTTATAATGTGTTTTGTTTTAAGGAAATAAATGTGCAAGAATAAACAAAACATCAGTTGAATTTACCTGACTTGTTCTCGATTATAGATATTGGTAAAATATATAAGATCTAGATTCACAGTGATTTCAATTGCGTTCACGTAATACATTTATGAGAATGTATATCTAAATGGAATTTCATTTTCACTTCACTATATATAAATGTGTACATATTAAACGACTAACGATTTATGAATCAGTTCCAATGTTTTCTTAAAAATAGCTTAGTGTTGAACACTGAAACGTCATATCTTATGTTCGTTTAATTGCTTCAGGCTATTTAAGATTTGACAGAAAACGTAATAATGTTATTCAGCAAAAAATCGTGGTCGGTAACTGCATTCATATAGAATTAATATCAAAAGCTTATTAAAATTATCTTAAGATATATTAAGACTGTATGTCGAAGAATGACTGTTGCATTGATGAATAGAATACGATACTAAATATTGTTTTTCTTTAAGGAGATCCAGGACCAACGGGAACTAAATGCATGGACGGTATGTATCCATAGTGATACTTGTTTGTTGCAATGCGTTGTTTTTGTTTGCTTCTCCATTATCAATTTTAATGTAATTTAAAAAGAAATCGAAATGATTATACTACAAATTCAGGGTCGAAACAATGTATACACTTATTAATACTTGATTTTCCAACCAGACCCTTCTTTTTCTTGTGTTTCTATCATAAGATTGGGATTAATAAAGACTAGCCAGACAACGTTATAACACTACATTACATTATATGAATCAGTTCAGATGTTTTCTTAAAATTAGCCAAGTGTTAAATACTGTAACGTAGTATCTAATGTGTGTTTAATTGCTTGAGAATAATAAAAGATTTGAAAGACAAAGTCATAACGGTATTAGCAATGATCCGTAGCTATATTCATATAAAATCAAATATCAAAAGCTTACATAAATTATGCAAAGTTCTATCTACAATATCTGCCGAAGAACGAATTACATTGATAAATATAATACGATATACTGTAAATTAATTTTTTTCACGGATAATTTATTTTGCGTATAGTCCTTTCTAGACCACTTCGCGGCGGTTTAAATTAGCAATTTTAAAATTTACTTGATGTATATACTGTAAATTCAGAAATTATTGCGAGGTTTTTATTATTGCGAATAATGCGACTGGTTGTGAATCGCAATAATAAGAACTCGCATTCTGATATCCGACAGATATAAATGTGTGCAACTTTTGTACAACTCGCAATAATTAATCTCGCATTTTTGTCCATTCAGCAAAAATCGCAATAATAAACGCACGCAATAATTTCTGAATTTACAGTATATAATATAAAATCCACGTTATACAAGTTCGCAACGATTTGAATTCGTGTTTTCTATCTGCGAAAGTTGCGAAAATAAATCATTCAGACACGAAAATTAGTTTGTTTATAGTATTGTTTTTTATGACCTCCAGGACTACCAGGATTGCCAGGAGGTCAAGGATATCGAGGATATCGAGGACCTCAGGGACCACCTGGAAAAACGGGACGAACGGGACCTAAAGGTATGACCTGTATTTTTTAACATTGATATTTGCTTGTTGCAATTCTTTGTCTATGTATACTTCTCCATTGATAATTGAAATTATTTAAAAAAAACTGTATAAAAAAGGCTTTTGAATCTTTTAAAGCAATGATTAACATGGATTTTGATTGCATTATGTGTTGGTAGTTACTACTGTACTTTATTTGATTATCTAAAATCAACTAAATTAAATTTTTAAAAAGTGAGATCATTTTATTTCAGAAGAACAATATCTGCTTTAAAGCTTTCTTCTTCCTTGTAATTCTTATATTTATAATGTGTTTTGTTTTAATGAAATAAATGTGCAAGAATAAACAAGACATCAATTGAATTTACCTGACTTGTTCTCGATTATAGATATTGGTAAAATATATAAGATCTAGATTCACAATGATTTCAATTGCGTTCACGTAATACATTTATGAGAATGTATATCTAAATGGAATTTCATTCTCACTTCATTATATATAAATGTATACAAATAAAACGCCTTAAAAGTTGCGAATCAGTTCCAATGTTTTCTTAAAATTACCTTAGTGTTAAACACTGAAACGTCATATCTTATGTTCGTTTAATTGCTTTAGGCTATTTAAGATTTGACAGAAAACGTTATAATGGTATTCAGCAAAAAATCGTGGTCGGTAACTGCATTCATATAGAATTAATATCAAAATCTTATTAAAATTATCTTAAGATATATTAAGACTGTATGTCGAAGCATGACTGTTGCATTGATGAATAGAATACGATACTAAATATTGTTTTTCTTTAAGGAGATCCAGGACCAACGGGAACTAAATGCATGGACGGTATGTATCCATATTGATACTTGTTTGTTGCAATGCGTTGTTTTTGTTTGCTTCTCCATTATCAATTTTAATGTAATTTAAAAAGAAATCGAAATGATTATACTACAAATTCTGGGTCGAAACAATGTATACACTTATTAATACTTGTTTTTCCAACCAGACCCTTCTCTTTCTTGTATTTCTATCATAAGATTGGGATTAATAAAGACTAGCCAGACAACGTTATAACACTATATTACATTATATGAATCAGTTCAGATGTTTTCTTAAAATTAGCTTAGTGTTAAATACTGTAACGTAGTATCTAATGTATGTTTAATTGCTTGGGAATAATAAAAGATTTGACAGAAAAAGTCATAACGGTATTAGTAATGGTCAGTAGCTAGATTCATATAAAATCAAATATCAAAAGCTTACATAAATTATGCAAAGTTTTGTTTGCAATATCAGCCGACGAACGAATTACATTGATAATATAATACGATATACTGTAAATTAACTTATTTTCCCGGATAATTTATTTCGCTTTTAGTCCTTTCTAGGCCAGTTCGCGGCGGTTTAAATTAGCGATTTTAAAATTTACTTGATGTATATATATTCACAAGTTCGCAACGACTTAAATTCGCGTTATGTTTCTATCTGTGAAAGTTGCGAAAATAAATCACTCACGAAAATTAGTTTGTTTATAGTATTGTTTTTATGACCTCCAGGAAAATCAGGAATGCAAGGACCTAAAGGACTTCCGGGACCACCGGGACAAACGGGACCTAAACGTACGACCTTTATTTTTCCACATTGATATTTGTTTGTTGCAATTCTTTGTCTATGTATAGTTCTCCTTAAATAATTGAAATCATTTAAAAAAAAGAACTGTATAAGAAAGGCTTTTGAATCCTTTAAAGTAATGATTAACATGGATTTTGATTGCATTATGTGTTGGTAGTTATTACTTGACTTTTTTTGATTATCTAAAATCAACATAAATTAAATTTTAAAAAGCGAAATAATTTAATTACAGGAGAACATAATTAAGCAGTTATCAGTATCTGCTTTAAAGCTTTCTTCTTCCTTGTAATTCTTATATTTATAATGTGTTTTGTTTTAAGGAAATAAATGTGCAAGAATAAACAAAACATCAGTTGAATTTACCTGACTTGTTCTCGATTATAGATATTGGTAAAATATAGAAGTTCTAGATTCACAGTGATTTCAATTGCGTTCACTTAATACATTTATGAGAATGTATATCTAAATGGAGTTTCATTTTCACTTCATTATATATAAATGTATACATATTAAACGGGTAAAAACAACTGCAACATCTGCTGAATCTATACAGGTCTGAAAAAAAAGAAGTACTCATTGACCTTCAACCTGAACTTTTCGTATTAAAGCTGTTGAATTGTTTTTAGATTTAGAGATAAAAGGACGACCGTTCAAAAGACTAGGAATAGCAAAGACGGAATAAGACAGGTCAACAACCCGGAAACAGCGAACTTGGGAGGCGGCAAACTTCAATTGTTAAACTATTTTTATAATTATTATTACCATCGATAAAACATTCGTTTTTTCTTGATAATGTGGAAATAATTTCTATTGAAATAAAAATAAAATATTTGAAGATATGCTTTAGTTTTCCGTTTTCTTGGAAGATTCCAATATATACGAGGTCGTACAGGCTAAATGGCACCCAATAAAATTACCGATAACTTTTCAGTAAACAAAAATAATGAGAGATAATCAGCCTAGCAGTACACTACACCTATGAAATATGTGCACTACAGATTTTGTATACCAATGTATTAATTGCCAAGTATTCTCATGTTCGAACCCTTAAATACTGGAGTGAACTCTACCAAATATATTGAAGATGGCAGAAAGAATGTGATGCGACTTGCACCAGGAAAAATATCTACCATTATCCCATACCATTTTTTATTTTTATCAAACCTATAAATAAATGTATTCTTGTAGCAGTAATTTTTAAATCATTTTATTACGAACTTTTATTAGAAAACTATATAGAAATATTGGGAGATATCCCTTGAACACCGAAAGATTATTTCCCACTCATTTCGACAGAAGCACCATATAGTAACTTTCTTTAATTATCAAGGATTATGCCCTTTGTTGCACAAATGTCTATATTAACTAACCTTTTATCAATCAAAAAGCACTGGAGAACATCAGTTCAATAGTTGCGGAAGTACCATGAAAAACCATCAAAGCAATGTTCGGAAGGAGAGAGATGAGACTCATAAAAAGTTTATGCTTTAATCATATTTGTAGCTCCATAAGCCCACCTCAACCCCCATAGTTTTACATTTAAATACGTCTAAATCAACACCAAGACAAGTTCCAATCCTCAATAGTACTCAATTTGTTGGAATAGAACTCTGTTTCCTTTTGAGCAACCATATACCAATGCAGTCCTCGAACACCAGGATATTTTACATAAAAGTTTCAGATACCAACGTCATGCTTTTGGAAGTCATAAATCTCAATTTTTTTCGAAGTGCAAACATATCTGGATTGATAATTTCCTTTACTTAAATTATATACTGAAGCAGATTGCAAGTTGACAAATACTAAATTCTTTGTACCACTTAAACAAAGGGGTGACTTTTAGGAACAATTAAATTTAACAAATTGTCCATTGGTATACAGTTTGGATACACAGAGCTGAAATAATTAATAACAAAACACCATTTAAGTTTTATACATTTTAACAAGAAAATGCATACTTTATGATGCATATAGAATATATACATTTCCATAGATAAAAAATACTTTAGTAAATCATAACAGGTGCTTTGGTGTAAACAACAAGAGCAAACAACTTAAAATACATCAATGAGGCAGCAACCTAACTACAAAATACATCAATTAAAACTGCAACCAAACTACATAAAACATTAATGAGACAGCAATCGAATATATAATACATTAACGAAACAGGAACCCAACTATAAAATACATCAATAAGACTGCAATTCAATTATAAAATACATCAACGAGGCAATTTCCACTATACAATACATCAATAAGGCAGCAACCCAACTATAAAATACACCAATGAGTCAGCTAGCTAACTACAAAATACAGCATTAAGATAGTAGTCCAACTACAATATAAAACAACAAGACAGCAACCTATTACAAAATATAACCAAATGACATCTAGAAGGCAACATAATTTAGTCTTATATAACAGTGTATAAACACTGGACACTTTAAATTTGCAAAACACTCATTTGCAAATCCGCCGCCACCATTTCTTAACAATATGGGGTCATGTAAATAACCGAAATGTGCAGAATAACATGGGATTCATTAAATACCAAGTGTTAAAGCTCTGGACTTTAAAGTTTATATGCAATTTGAATTTAAAAAAAGGATTTTTTTTTGTCCCATGGGATTTAAGTTATAAATATACAAATATGTGTATGTTACAATGAATTCTGTTTGGTAGTAAACTGTTATAAGTTTATAATATAATATAATAGTTAATGTAGTATTAGAAATGCTAGCCACTAAACTATAACTATAAAGGTTTGAAGGATTCTATTTGAAGTCAATCAAATAAAATCCTTTAACTGAAATAAAATAATGAAATGTTTAAATAAAAGAAAAAAGTATTGTTTTGAAATCTTTGTCTTGTTTATTTCATTATGAAAACTAGAATTGAAAAAAATATTTCATATTCTAGACTGAATAAATTGACAAAGCACAGTTTACTCCTTTCACGAGGTATTGTTTTCTTTGTTATTGTTTCATTGCAATACATGAATATGCAACCGATTTGAATTCTATACCATTTGTGGTGTTCATAATATTATGTTCATATTACAAATTTAATCAAATAAAAACTTTTCATGTTAAGTTTTAGTTTTCTTAAGTTTAAGTTATCTTGTTTCAGCTTGCTGTGTACAATTATTTAATCCACTATATAAGAGTCAAGTAAATAAATTATTCCATCCACTAGAACTATTCTTACAATTCTTAGAGAAAACATTTTTGCAATTTGTTCTTCAAAGATCTTCCTCTGTACATCTTTATTGGATGGAGGGGTGTAAATGAGTGGACAAAGCAAGTGTTCATTTGGACAACAAAATACTCATTTTTTTCTTCATTTGTCCCTTCTTTCAATTAATACTAATGTTGTTGCATTTACACAATTATGTTCTTGTGCATCTATGATAGGACTCAATTTTGTTTATACATGTAGTCATTATGTTGAAATTTCCTATTTCTTTTGTAGGAAAACACACATTCCATTTTATATAAAAAAAAAGCACACATTGCAGAAAAATATCAACTTTAAGTTTCCTCTTCAGTATTGACCTGTTGATGATCATGAAAACTAAGATGTCTGACCTATAAATACACAAAACTCAAAAATTTTTATAAATGGAGAGAAATACAGCAATAAAAATTGCTATTTTATCATGTTTATGAACATTTTGATAAACTTTCATTTGAATATCAATTGTGAGTACTCTTATCTCAGTGCTTTGTGTCTATGGTTTTTATATTAGTTGTTTTTGTGCCTTGTTGCAATCTTTTGAGTTGAACCAATTGCAACACATGTTTACAGTTTGTTCAAATGTTGTGCTGTTATTATAAAACCACTGTCCCTGGTTAGGGTTGGGTTGAGTGCTCACAACATGTTTTTTTTTAATAGTTGTTATTGGCTTTGAACTAGATGTAAGTAACTGTGAGTACTAACAGATCTGTACTTTGCGTCTGTTTTGTTATAGGGAAAGAACAAATTTCCAGCCACTTCCGGTCTGGTTTTTTTGGTAGCTGTTTTTCTGCTTTGTTGCATTCTGATGAGTTAAAAAAATTGAGAGTGGAAACGGGAATGTAGCAAAGAGACATCAACCTGTCCAAAGAGCAGAAAACAGCCCTTTTCAACTGATTTTTATATTGAACTGACACTTACACCACTGTTCTTGGTTAGGGGAGGGTTTGGCGCCAGCAAACATGTTAAAACATGCCACATTTTGCAAGTGTCTGTCCCAAGTCAGGGGCCTGTAATTCAGTGGTTGTAATTTGTTGCTATATTCATATTTGGTTTTCGTTTATTGTTTTGTGCAAAAATCAGGCACTTATCTTTCGCCTTTGAATTGTTTTACATTTGTTATTTCATAGCCCTTTTATAGCTTTCTATGCGGTATAGTTTTTGTTCATTGTCAAAGGCTGTACAGTGGACTATATTTGTTAACTTCTATGTCATTTGGTTTCTAGTGGAGAAAAGTCTCATTGGCAATCATACCACATCTTATTAATATATCAACCCGGCAATATTCTGATAGTCCAAAATCAGGAGCCTGTACATAGTTCAGTGATTGATGTTGGTTCATGTCTGTCATATTTGTTTTTCATAAATTGTTTTGTTATAAATTAGCCCGCTATATTTGAAGTTTTAGTTGTTTCAAATTTTGTATGTGGTGCCTTTTATAGATGACTATAGCATGTATAGGGTATGGGTTTTCTCATTATTTAAAGGTCACCATTGGCCCCTAATTGCATTGCTTACATCCACTTAATTAAACTATGGTGTATAGTTTTCTCATTTATCTTACCACATCTTCTTTTCATAATAATCATTATTCAAGGGCAATAACGTTTATAGAAGTGGACTTACCATTTAGGCTTTGTTGACTTCTGTAAATCTTGTTTTGTTGATAATTTTTTTTGTTTATAGTTTCCCTTTATCTTCTATAGTTCTTGCCCTACACATTAAAGGGTAAAAAGTATCATTTAATGACAATAACTACTATGAGTAGGCAACTGACAATTTTGGCCCATTTGTATATCTTTACTTGCTCATCATTTTTGCTGTTTAATATAATTGCTGTTCTATGAAAATGAGGTCACAGTAATATTAACCTTGGCAGACAGACATCTCCTTATTTTTATATGACACCTTGCAGTCATTCCATACACCAAAAAGTCGACCTATGCTTATAATATCTGATAAAATGACAAAACCAAGAAAACTAAGCATTGACCAAAGAACCATGAAATGCGGTCATAGTTATATGAATCTGCCAGACAGACATGCACACTTTACAATCATTATATACACCAAATATAATTAACCAATTGCTTAAAGTATATGATAAACTGACAAAACCATGAAAACTTATCATTGACCAATGAACCATGAAAATGAGGTCAACGTCATATAAAACATGCCAGACCCGGCCGGGGTTCGAATCAACGACCTTCTGCACTCGAGGCGAACACGCTACCACGAGAACACCAAGGCGGTATATAAGGAGTAGACCCAGGATTTAAAGTTTCTAAGTTTTTGCAAAAACTGGATCTAAACCATCATTGAAAAGCAATAACTTTTTTAATAAGATTTAAAAGTTTCTCTTTTAATATTATAGTTTTCAAGATAAAAAGGCAAATACATGAAATATGAAGAAAACAAAATTGGTAAAAATCTTTATTTACAACAACTCCTATGAGTCAGCTGCCAGTTTTGGTGCAAATGAACAGTAGATAGATTTCAACATTCTGAACATTTCTGCCCTTGTCAGATATTGTCTATCTATTTTGGCCTTTTATAGCTTACTATGCAGTATTGATTTTTTAGCCCATTGTTGAAGTCT